ATTTTCATCTTACAGCCAAATAGATTTTACACCTAAACCTTAGTCAAATGGGTCTTTTGTATACACGAAGTCAACGAGAAACGATACGAAAACAAGTCTTAGTCTTTATAGTACTAGTACAGTACGAGCACACCGTTTTGTACATGCACAACACTAAAAACCTACAAATAACTACATCATGTTTAACACTTTATAGTACATTTGGCATCGATACTTCGTCTCATGCTGCAGCTGGCGCTTGCGCCAACTCCATCATAACGGAAAATCGCTTCGCTTCTCAAAAGTGTCATTCTGTTTTGATTCTCTTTAAAACACCTGTCGTCGTCGAATCCAGAAATTAATATTTTTCGGAAGATCATTTATTTGTTGTTGTTTGTGCAATCTGATCAAACAACGGGCAAGTTTCAACACTACTACTCACATTACATCATAAATAGAATAATTTACACTTAATGCAAAGTAAAAAGACAATAAATTATTATCGAAAACAATCAAAGTAGGCCTGGGTAACACTATGTTGAGTTGTTGCCGCGCTCTGATTCAAACTCTTTGTTAAATATAAGAATGAGGGCATTTTTTCATCAACCTCTAATAAAACAGTGTCTTTTAGTTCACATTCATCAAAACACGGGCCATGTTTATGGGAGACAGAGATTTTATTCAAGTAAACTTATTTGTTTGAGAGAGTGTCAATCAAAGTATGCTTGATTTTTGCTGGTTTTATTGTGATAGTTGATTAAATTCCCTTCTCTGAACTGAGTACGTCAGAACTAAAATTAGTTCGATTTATTCAATTTAGAGGGGCGCTGTTGTCGATTTTACTTCGACGAGTTCACTATAGAGGGCGGCTACAGTCGTGTTAATAAGTTCAAAAGGCAATACCGCGGCACAGTGTTGGCATTATTCACAAATCAAATTAATTCCTGGGTTTCAGTCATTTATCAATCAAAATACGTTTCGGTGTATTTTTCCACCATCATCAGTTTTTATGTGTAGCGTTGTTGCTGCTTTAAGCCTTGGCATGCATTTT